TTGACATCATCCCTTACCTCCGGTGTCCACCACCGTGTTTGGGGATTGCTGCCACGACAGGCGCCAGAGACTTTACGGCCGCAGCTCCGAACTGCCGCCCCGACAATGGAGGTGTGGAACATAGTCCATTCAGACTCAATGTCCCCAGCCTCCATTGGGACCTGGTTAAAGCTCTGTCGCAGGTGGGAGTTGAAGACCTCTCTGACGGGGGCCTCTGCCAAACGTTCCCAACAGACCCTCACTATGCGTTTGGGCCTGCCAGGTCTGTCCAGCCTTCTCCCCCACCATCGAATCTAACTCACCACCAGGTGGTGATCAGTTGATAGCCCAGCCCCTCTCTTTACACGAGTGTCCAAGACATATGGCCGAAGATCAGAAAAAACGACTACAAAGTCGATTATATACATTATACCTGTCAAAACTTGCGATAAACCTATTGTTTGGAGATTACCTGTGTTGCATTCTCCTGTTTTGTGACAGAAGACCAGACCATAGATTGCAGTATGAGCACTCCTCTCCATCTTGTTGACCAGCTATACTCCTTCACTCAAAATGGCCATTCCTTAGCCAAATATGCTGAGCAATTCTTGGAGCTGGCCTCTGCCGTCTATTTGGAGGATGATGTGCTGATGACATTCTTCCATGTAGGTTTGGACGAACCATAATATTCACGGATGCCCTTGAATACTAACAACTGCACGTTGGAACAATATGTTCTATATGCCCTCCTGCTGAGCTCCCGAAAAACCGCTCATCCTTCCTGTCATATCAGAGTCTGCTCCCTCCCAGGCCAGTCCAGAGTTCGTTCCAGTGTCGGCTCCAGCCCCGAGTCCACTCCAGTGTCGGCTTCAGCTCCAGAATCTGCAATTTCCGGGATTTAATCTATAAACCAGTTCAATCATGTCCAATATTATATGTGAAAATTGTGTTTAGACTTAATACAAAGAAAATGCTATTTTTACATAGTGTAAATATAATCTATCCTTATTTTCACTTTTTGTAAATAGCATATCGTTAAGAAGTACGTCTCTTCTATATCTTCTCCATTAACTTCGTTTCAAGCTACAGTTTTAAGTTGTTGATACTTTTGGCATATCCAGGGTGGCTGAATGGGTTAATATATAGGTAAAAGAAAACCACAAAGAGTAGTAAGAATTAGCAATGGATTTGACAAATGTTGTGATGTTTTGTGATGTCAGCTGGTTTGTGTCTGGCAGGGACATCGCTTGACCCATTTTACTCTTTGACCTACTAAAATATTACTGATAAGTCCTTGTGTCAATGGCATTGACATATACTGACCTGAGAATAATTTTCTATATAATACTTAAGCAATCAAGAAATGTTTGTTTTCTATCAGCTGTTTAGAATCAGAACTAGAATCACTCGTTTGATCAGTCTGAAACTAGACAGCACATCACATGAAAAACTGGAATTTTGTTTTCTCCTGTTGATGTATGATTAAAGGAATATCCTGTTTAATGATATTCAGTTGCATACTAATATAAGTGTTGAGGCAGTAAAAACATGTTTTGCACCCAAACAATGTGCGTAATATCTTTAGCAAGCATTTAGCTAAACTTAACTAACCACTCTTTCCAGAAACGTCGTTATAGCAGCTAAAAGTCCAATGTCCGTAAATATATTAAAAGATTAGTAAACATTTATAAATATTTACAGATGATGAATAGTTTCAACTTTATATTGGGTACTGCTAAAACATGAATATCTGATTAATGAATGATTAGTTAACATGTTTAGATAGGGTGAATTCAGGAACTTTGGGGCACATTTTGCCATCGAAATGACTACGCATAAAGGTACTAATGATTAATAAACGTTTATAAAAATATAAACAGTTTACACTTTAAATTAGGTACTACAACAACAATAACAAATAATCAATAAATTATTTGTTAGATGTGTAAATAGTAGAAGTCTACACAACAAATGAAGACCAAATGTGTGACCTTGACTAGTGTTGTTGTTATATCTTTCACTTGGATTGTATAAATTGCACTGAATAAATACTGCTGGATCAAACTCAAACAAAATGTGATTATTTTAAGGGGAGGGGGGGTGATTCTTTTTATACCAACTGTAACTGAAGGGCTCCACTGCTGTACATTTTGCATACATTGAGTGTACACTGATGCACTGCCAAACAACAACAACAACAAAAAAGTTAATTCTACAAGATGCTTATAACTAAGCACTTGCCTTTTGTGTGTCAATAGGAGTTACTAGAAAGACGACAGCACTTCAGGCTCAATTTATCCACCTTATTTTTCCCGTAAGAGTGGGCGCAGCCATTTGCTTCCAGTCTAATCCTCGTCTAGTTAATTTTAGCTGTACAAAACAGTTTGTTTTGCTGATTGATATTGCAAATCTTACCATTTTAATGTATTATCTTAATTATGAACACACTGGTTTGTAGTGCAAAAAGTTTTACCATTTACTGCACTTTGTTATTCTTCTCGTTATTTCCCTACAGTGGCTAATCGACTAAGATACTTATTAAGCATATTATTAAGAATATGATTTCTTGATACAGTCTTCCTTTGATAAATAGTTTCACAAAATGCCCCCCCCAAAAAAATACAAAAATCCTAAGGTAGCATAAATGTCATGCTGTTACAACTTAAAATGCAGTGAAATAGGGCTGTCCATTGTACAAGAGCTTTAGGCTACTCCTGTAATGCTAGAAAGGCAGGATAAGAGAGGGTACGAGTAAAGTATCTTTTTTTTCACACAGTAGAAGAGGATTCCCATTCATGTCGAGCCACAGAGGTGATACACAAAGCCTTATCAGCGTGGGCAGAAAGGCAGCGGTCATGGTGCGCTGCTCTTATTGTGACACTGCACCGCTCTCCCAGATACTCAGACGGTGTGAATACTGCTGTGTGAATACTGCGGAGACACGACGACAGAAGTAACATCTGCAAAGGAAGACTTTAAAAAGAAAGGAATGGCATTCAATTTAGCACTTAGTTTATTTTAGGGTGTTAAGAGAAGGTGAAATCGGTTTCAGCTGTAGCCCCAAAAAAGATACTCTCAGACACTCTTGACTGTGTTGTTTTATTGTTTCTAAACTAACAAACCACTTTTTGTGAAATGCTTTGCTAATACAGTGTGCTTGCACTATCTTTCTTTAAAATTAATGACATTTAGGCCCAATCCCAATTCTATTTTATACCCCTTCCCCTTCCCCTATTGATATTTTATATCTAATGCAGCGACATTCAGACATGTTAAGTGTGACTTACTGTGTCCAAAATCTTTGCTTCCTTTTTGAACTGAAGTGGTAATTTACATTTTTAGATTTAAATTTATGCATTTAACAGATGCTTTTATCCAAAGCGACCTACAAAAGAGGAACACAAGCAATATAACAGTGTTCTGGATGGTAGCTTTGGTGTTGCTAGGGTGTTTTAGGGGGTTGCTTGGGAAATACAGACAGTTCAAAGGTGTTCTTGGTAGTTGTTTATGGTATTTGTCATCACATAACACTAAAGAAGATCGTTTGAAGAATATCTAAACTGTTTTTGCCCCTACAGTGAAAGTCAGTGTGGTCCAAAAGTGTGGCCCCAACTCACTTTCAGTGTACTTTTATTTATTTTTTAATCTTCTTGTCGAGAGGCTTCTAGCGAGAATGGTGGACTATTCATTATATCTCAAAGGCAGCTGGTTTTGCACTTCTATAGGCAATTTTTAGGGTTGATAAGGGCTTTTGGGGATTTTTCTCATATGGAAAACTGTACAGATATATTAAATGAATAAAAAACATGTTGTGTCTCATATGATTTACTGTGTAGTGTTTGTTTGCTACTTCTGTTTCATTGTGATTTTCATGTTTTGTTTTGTTTTTTTCTACATTGAAGCATTTGCCATTTGAAGGAAATAACCTTTTTTTTTTTTAAAAAGTGTCTGCTGTGTTGCTGCTAGCTTTAGTACATTGGAAGGCCAAGATATACTTCATTGTCTGCATTCCACTCTGTCTCACACACTGTTGAGCAAGCAAGCCTGTCAAAGTATACTCTATTTACCGTGAAGGCAGATGACAGCATTTGACATATGCACACTACCTGGCGGACCTTTGTTTTGAGCATTCAAGTCAGTTCCCATCCTACCCTTTGCCATGTTTTAAGTGTGAACACACTACTCATACTACAAAGTGTACAATTATACAAAATTAGACCCACATCAACCAGCGGCCATAATTAATTAAGCAAACGTTGCTGTTATTTATAATGTTCTTTCAGTCATCAACCTCATGTTGCTAGACTGTAGTTGCACTGCAGGGCTGCCTTCTTTGGAAGCATGTGCTGAATGGAGCATCTTCTACTCGTATCAGCTCTAGTTTAGCATGAGCTCATGACTAAGTGCTGGCTAAAGACGGCAAATGACTCATTCTCCAGAGCTCTTTCTGCTGCGTGTCCAGAGGGACAGGCTGGGTAATTGGAGTCTTACCAATAACGGAATGCAGTTAAGAGACTGAATGCTTCTATAAAAGACTCTATACAGCTGATGATATAGAAAATTAAAGAACTAAGATAAGTGACTAAGACAAGTTACCCTTTTTCTCATATCTGCACTGGTCATATAAATAGCCTTGACTTGCAATGATGTCTCATGGTGGGGCTAGACAAGTGACAGAAATGAACTTTTCCATTAAGGGAAAAATTGATTTCCAAAGGCTTTTTATTATTAACTTATGACATGCCGTATGTCCACTTCACTGTACGCGTTTGGGACAGAATAAGGACCTTCTTTGTGATCGCTATAATTTGTGCAGTATTTTTCATTATTGACCTTTAATTAATTCATAAATGTTAAAAGCTTGAATCAATATGATTATTTTGTGTATCCTTAAAGGTCCCCTGAAATGCTTAGAAACACGCAGCGTTCGTTACTCTATGTGTTGACTTCATTTGAACTGAAACAGGAAGACAGGGCGGGACGCCCCCATTGACTCGTCCAGAACTTCACGCCATCAAGGTTGGAATGCGTTTCTTGCAAAAATATACAGTGTGAGTTTTTGCTTTTGCAAAAAAGAAAGAAAGCTTTTCTTTTGATAGAGTTACGGAGACCCCTTGCGTTTAAAGAAATAAAGGAAAAGGACGATTTCACTGAGAACATTTAACTGATAGGAAACAAACAATAAATAAATTAAAATAAATATGTGAAATAAGAAGATAAACAGTCAAATGAAAAATATGAAACCGTGCTCTAATGAACACAAAACAATGTCTCTCTCAAACAGAGCACTGTAACAAAATCCCGCTCAACAGCAAGGACATAACAAAACATCCCACTTACACCTCTTGCCAACACAAAAGGAAGACGAGTGCGTTCGAGGTTGTTGAGATCAACCATCCTTGACAATCCGGGTGCCCTCTATGTAGCCATAGGGACCACGGTAGTAGGCTTTCTTCCCTGCAGCTCTAGCCTCACTGATCCTCGGCCATAGTGCAGTGCGGGCTTCTCGATCTTCCTTAGATAAATCTTCGGCGAACTTTATTCCCCTGAGTTTACAGACATCCGAGACTTTGGTGGAGCGCCAGAACTCGTCTCTGTGTTTCCGCATGCAGAACTGAATAATCACCTGCCTGGATTTATCCTTCGTTTTGGGGCCAATGCGGTGGACTGTATCCACGATGTCTTCAAGTTTGTGCTGCAGGTGAGGAGCAATTTCGGCTAACAGTGAGACGACTTCTCTTCGGATATCTTCGCCTGCGGTTTCTTTCATTCCGATTACTCTGAGGTTCCATCGTCTTTTGTAGCGTTCGAGCTCCGACGTGCGGCTTATCAAATCTGCGTGCGATGTGACAACAGAGGGGAGTTGTTTTTCGAACAAGTTTATTTTAGTTTTACAATCCTTTATTTCCGCCGCGTTGAATTCCACAGCTTTTGTCAGGTTGACGATCATTAGACTGTTCTCAGTAATTTTATGCTCAATGCTGCTCAGCTTCCCGTCTTGTAGATCGAATCTGGCAACTATGGTTTCCAGAAGAGCGGTGTTGGAAATCTCAGGGTTTTCGTCACCCTTCTGTTTCTTAGCCGAGGCTTTAGTTGGAGTGTTCTGCAAGGACGGAGATTCTTTGCGTTTCTCTTTGTGATCGACGTGGTCGACTTCCATGACGTATTCATGTTCGGCAAGAGCAGAAGTTTTTCCAGTCATCCCTTTTTGTCCTGGAATGACTATTTTCGGGTGATTAGAAGCTTTTTTTGTTGACATAGTCCAATACTCGCTGATACTCAACAATTAGGACGTGGAGCACACTGCCTTATAGATAACCTTAAGACTAACATATTGATATTACTAACACCCAAAAAACTTTAATTTTGATTTCATGGGGACTTTAAGTTCTTGCTAGATGCATGAGTTTCACCACCGCGTTCCGTGTCATAAACTAGCTAATAACTGCTTATTAAAACCAAGGCTGACGTCACTGTATTCTGTTTGCACCTATATCTTTATTTGTGCATCTATGAAATACATGATTGTTAGTTAATAAGCAGGGACGTTGTGTTTATCTAGAATGCGCTTCAGTGATGTATTTGTAATGTGCATCTTTTCCTTATTTTTAATCTTTTTTGTTAAGCATTAAATGTATATTGATAAGAAATGTGATTTATATGTAATAGGCTAATTTAATTCAGTGATGTTCTACATTGTTGTAATCTTTTGAATTTTCTACATTTCTTTAATGCAAAACACACACACACAAACACTCTTTTCAAACAGGATCCCAAGCTTGTAACGCACATGCTATCAGTCACAGCATATCCTTCATGACTACTAAAAATTACAAATTATATATAATTTAATTTCAAATAAAAGGAAAAAAAAGTGAGTTGAATCCAAGCAGCTCTAAAAGATTTTAGAATAGTTCTCTGCATCCTTCTGAAGGCACTCCGCCTGTGTTTGCAGTGTTGCGTTGACCATTTAAACATTTAATTACACAAACAAAATGTTTTACGTATTGTCTCTAAAAAAAAAATATCAACAGTGATTGATTAGCCTTTATTGTATTGTAGACGTTATTACTAAGCGAGGCAAAATTTTCTGAAATATCCTAAACATACAGTAAGAGCGCACGGTTTATCTGTCGATCAGATGTGTGTTGTTGGGTTTGTTACTATAGCAACAGTAGATCAAACAAATCAAACAATCATTGTAAAAAAACAAAAAAACTAATTTTGTTATGTCGATATCACAATAAAATTAAGTCGTGATCATGAGAGAACAATTTTCGTTATGCCGAGATAAGGAGAAAACAAGAAAGAAATATATTAATAATCCATGGCCTCTTAGGACATCAGTAGCTTTTTGACCTTGGTCTAGACAAATATTTTTAAATATATCCATGTTCAATTTCAAATCCTTTTCAAGCACACAGACAAACTCTCATTGGCTACGTTTACATGCAACCAAATAATCCGTTTGTAATCGGATTGACGGCACAATCGGACTGAAAAGCCTTCATGTAAATACCTTAATCGATCCGACTGAGCTCGATCGGAATGAAATTTCGATCGGATTGAAGGGGGTGGTTTATTCCTTTTCTAATACGATTATTATTAGGACTGCGCATGTGCAGTGACGCAGAAATAGCGTAATGACGTATGACGCGGGGAACGAACGGCTCTTCCTTTTGAATAAAGTGTTGTATAAATGCGTGTCCTGTCATTATAAAACTCTCCTTTCACTCAGCAACTATGAAGTGGAGCAGGACAACCTCCCACCAGTCCTT